CAAAGTATGAGAGGACCCGTTTGCGGGAGAAGGGAGAGCAGGGTGAGGGTGTCCATAGAGGTCTGGGATGCAAGAAGCAAAGCAGAAGGGCTGGTCTGATGTTTGGGTGATGCTTTTTGTTAGGCTGTCACAGTTGCTGAGTACTAAGTACAAATAGGCCTGATGTGACGCTTGGGTATCCTTAATGTGACCACAGTCACTTGTTATTTGGGAGCACGGATAAAAAGAACAAACTCTGCCACCAGTTGAGGCAGCAAGTATCTTGTGTGTCCGTGTAAAAACATTTGGGGCTGCTCTGGGTTCATCACCTTATTTGAGGTGACCAGTCTGTAGGAGTCTATCAAGCACCAGCACTTGCTCCTTTCACCTTCGTGTTCCCCTCACCCCACAGGCAGGCAGGTGGTTGAGCGTAAGCCAAAACTAAGGATTTCACCTTTTCTTTCGAGGGAAGGGGGAGCTCAGGTTTATGAGGAATACAGCTGTACTTGAGCAGAGTCTGTCCTGTGGAACTACAAAGGCCCACAGCATGCTGCTGGCACAAGCAGCTGCTCTAGCAACGTCTCGCTTCCGTTGCCACTTTGCGTGCTGTGTGAAACTGTGCTTTATGGTTTATTAACTTCTGGTTTTAGTCACTTGTCCTAAGATGCCAATAATGCGGTTATGTTCTAGTCCAGCTTTTGTGGACTATCATTTCACAGAACCATGGAATGGTTTGGGTTGGAAAGGACCTTAAAGACCATCTAGTTCCACCCCCCCTGCCATGGGCAGGGACACCTTCCACTAGACCAGGTTGCTCCAAGCCTCATCCAGCCTGGCCTTGAAGACATCCAGGGATGGGGCATCCACAGCTTCTCTGGGCCACCTGTCCCACTGCCTCCCCACCCTCTCTGAGAAGAATTCCTTCCTGATATCTAATCTAAACCTCCCCACTTTCAATTTAAACCTGTTCCCCCTTGTCCTGACACTACAGACCCTTGTAAAAAGTCCCCCCCAGCTTCCTTGTAGCCCCTTCAGGTACTGGAAGGGGCTATAAGGTCTCCCTGGAGCCTCCTCCAGGCTGAACAAGCCCAATTCTCTCAGCCTTTCATCATAGCAGAGGTGCTCCAGCCTTCTGATTTCATATTAATCATTTAGAAATGAGCACTACATGCTCTGAACAAGCCTGTCACCCTGTCTCTGCTACAGATAAAATGTTAAAAGTGCATGACCGGGTTCATCACAGACCTGATTAGTTCTTTACAGAATCCGCTTTGGGCCGTAGCCTGTACTATCCGTATTGATGGTAACGTATTACATAACCAGCTTTGGAAAATGCAGCCGTCTGAAAGCCTGATTCTGCATCCCTGGGCTCACGCTCCACCCTGAGAGTACTGAAAACCCACAGTGTTTCGCTAGAAAGCAGGCATTTCTGCTACGGGGGTAGTAGAGCAATCGATCCTCTTGGAATCACCTTGGTCCACAAACTGTGCTTCCCAACCTCTATTGATATATCCAGTAGAGATATTAACAAAATGCTAGATGTTCCCTTTTGCTGTCCAACCCGGGTGAAGTAATGGAACAAGCTATTTTGGTAGTTTGGAACACACCCCAGGCATTGATTAAATGCTCTTGCTCCATGCGAACTGTGCCTTCCTGTGCAAACATCAGAAGTATCCGAGCGGCAAACACAAGCCTGCAGCATCTGCTCCATCCCTGTCTGGCAAAGAACATCATTTACTACCTCCTTAAATACTAAGCATATTTTAACAGGCAATTACAAGTTTGTCCCCTATAAAATTTAACAGTGGATGAAGTGGAATTGCTACCGTGGACTTGGTGATAGGGTATCTGAGGCTCATGTAGTTAGCAAGAGTGCTTTTAGACATCCAAGACCAGAATTTGAGGTTTTGCCTTTTCCTATGAGTCACGAGCACTTCTGTAAGCGTCAGCGCTGGAACACGTGATCTCCAACGCACCTCTGCCCGGGTTTTCCAGGAAGAGGTTCATAGAATGGTTTGGGTTGGAAGGGACCCTTAAAGATCATCCAGTTCCAACCCCCCTGCCCTGGGCAGGGACACCAGGTTTGCCACCTTCACTCAGAAGTGGAAACACGAAGCCATCACAGTGCTGTGTTAGGTTGTACTCAGATCTTCGGGGGTAGGACCATGGCTGAGATTTCATCATCTCACCACAGCCCAGGTGAGCTGTGTGGCAGATAGAGTTCATTATCTGTGTCCCCACGGTAAGAGGTTCTCAGCTTCAGTCATTCTGGCACGGCTGTAAGGTTGTGCTGATGTATTCAGATCGGTGAACTACCCAGGAGAGGTAATCTTGTCTAAAGGTAACACCATAAAATATCCTGTAAGATTAATAGACGAGATGAAAAATCCAATTAAGCACACACATCCTGCCCCTTCAATCGCCGTGGGCGAGATACCCACGATTAAGTCCTGAGTATTACACAGCAACTCTGGGCGGGGGCAGGCCCTGTCTGATAAATTCCTTCCAATTCTTGGTTATGGTGAGTTCAGGGAACTACAGCAGATGAGGGCAAAGCTCCCAGATCAGCAGGCAATCGGGAGAGGTGTACGGGGTTCGGAGCTGTTAGGGGACAGGCGTGTCCTGACACCACAGCAGAGATGAGCAGAACGACGTAGGTTTGACACTTTTATTAACAAAGAACCCATGGGGCTCAGTCATTAGTACAAAATACAATCATGTTCCTGTATGTTAAACAGCCTGGTGTTTTTTTGTTTAGGTTTTTAAATGTGTTTTTTTTATTATTTTTAATTTTTTTTTTATTTTGTCTCTTTTAAACTGTTTCACAGTTATCAAAACAAAGCCCCTGCATATTGAACTTATTATTGTGCAAACAGTAATTATTTTAAGGATCAATTTCTGCACTAAGCCCAGTGTCAGAGAGCAGAATTTAATCGTGTTTTCACCCCTCCTTCGAAGGGTCACATGTGCTTCCCAAGAAACACACTGCTAGTTGTTTTGTCTTTTTTTGCAGCACACAATCTAAGGCCACAGTTTATCTGCAAATAATAAAAAACTCAAAGGTTTTAGGAGGAAAAAAAAAAAAAGCACATCTTTACCCTTCATGCTCTTGTTTGCTTGACCATTTTTATACCAGGTAGCACACATCACCCATCAGGTATTACAGTCCAAAAAAGCACCTAATGTTCTTTAAGCTAGTATTTTGAATTATTCACATGCAAGTTGATACACAGCCACATTACCTTTCAAGTCACTATCATGGGATCTGTTTAAGGATGTTTGTTCCCTTTGGAGGTGATGCGAATGAAAATCCTGCATTGATTGTATGGGCACACCATCCCTCAAATAAAAAGGCATGAGAGCTACAGCTTGAGACTTCTGATAAATACTAACTCTTACAATGTCCTTTCCAAAACAAACCCTCAGATTTTGGTTAAAGCTGCATTTGCTATAGAAGACAATACCTAAAAATTGCAAATGAAAACAATAACTGCAGTTTGGAAACGTGAACCTCCATCAGCCTCTTTTACACTGATGTAAAAGTAACTTGAGGTGAAGTGCTAGAAATTAGACAATATAAGGAAGTCATACTAGGACTAAAAATACATATCCGTGTATGCCTGTACAAAAATCCCTGTTTCTCAAATGAAGACAGATTTCATAAAAAAACCCACTTAAACTTTTTTTTTAAACTGCAGTTATTGATGAAATGAAGGAAACTTGCTGTTTTTGTAGTTACCAGAAAGTACGATGTTTTACCACATGAAGGACTGGGTTTTAACCCCAAGCCCTTCTGTAAGACATACGGAGTAGTTCTAGCAGTTCAAAATCCCCTGTAGTTCAAGGGCTGGACTGTAAACGTGCGTACTGAGAACACGGTGTTTCTGCTCCTCTACGGGATCTGCTGACGGTGCCTTCCTTACTCCACCCCATGCTTGGCAGGAAGCAAACATTCTACTCAAATGAAGGCAGCAGGAGGGCCAAGTTAAATGCGGTGCCTTCACTCTTTAGCAGCAACAAACTCTCACTGTTCTAAATGACCTGAGGAAGAAAACATTAAAATATTGCACCAAACCAAAATTAAACAGCAAAAACGAACAAGGAAACACACGGACAAAAAAATAGTATGGATAGCACATGACCAGTGCAGCCCCTGACAACAGATCTCTAGACAAAAAATGCCGGAGTAATGAACAGCTTTGCCATCACCAGAGGGGTTTGTTCCCCTGATGTTTGCTTTCACTTCAGCTCTAAGCTATGTCTATGCTGGGTATATACACCTCTCCCTACACCTCCTGTCTCAGTCACAGGAACCAGTTAAGGTCCCTTTTAGAACCTTGAAGTACACTGGAGCTTTAACGAGACTTTTTTTTTTTTTTTGGTCTCTAATCTGACCGTAAGTAAATATCCCAACCAGAGGTAGGCTTGTAAAGGCTTCTCAATAAATAAGTATTGTCCGTTGCTAGCTATACCTGCTGTCGGCAGCGGGATGTCCCCTGCCACGCTTCCCCTTATCATGCTATCCATAGGCTTTAGATGCGGAAAAAGAACTCACAGTAGAGGAGGCTAGAATAATTCCCTTAAGAAATCCCTCGGAAGAAAGCATAGTGCATAAGCTCTGACCAAAGTTCAGTTTTCTTTTCCATGCGTGCGTCTCGTTCAGCGAACGGCTGCCTTCGCCGTACTGCGCAACGGCGATTCCGTCACCCGCGACCAACCACGAGACAGCACCGCCTGGCAGCTGGCAGAAGGGCGGGTTCTCGGCCAGAGCGCGGACGGCGCTCCACCTTTTAGTAGTGCTCCTTTCTTGGACGCGGACAGTGCAAAACCAAAGCCCCTCGAACACCGGAATGTTCTGGAAATGTTTTCTTCCCCCGCGTTCTGTTCCGCTACGCAGTTCTTTGGCGGAAGTTCTCAGCATCATCATGAACGTTCCTCCAGTGTTCCACACAAAATAGGAATTTTTTTCCCTTCAGAAGAGCCTTACATCTCCTCCTTGTACTTTATGTAGTATATCCGTTTTTCAGAACGCATTCAGTATTTTCAGATACTGCAGGTATCCAAAGCATAGCTGCTCCCAAAGTACCCTCTGTGCAGACTAATCCAGCAGATTCTCTTCCATCGCCAAACATGCTCAAACCTCTCTCCCCACTCTCCTTTGTCCTTCTTGTACACAAACTTAAGTTCTTGAAAAAGAAAACTGTTTCCTTTTTAGCTGCACTGTCAGCTGAAGCAGCAGAAAGATTAAGACATTCATCACAACGATGCTCGTTACGAATCCTCTTCAGAGCATGAATGAAACGGGCTGAACTTCTTCTACATCGGTTGGATGTGGGTCGATCTGCGGAGAGGAGAAAGGCAACGATTACTGTCTGTAACCTGCATTTCTCTACGTGGGGTTATTTTTTTTTGCCCCTTGACAATAAAACCACCACCTGCTGTTTATTTATTTACCTCTGAATAAAGAGGTGGAGGCTGAAACCGGAACTCTTGTATGTAAGCAAAGACAGGACAACACAATTGTTCCTCACAGTCAATTGGTGGTGGATAAGCAGGAACATGTCTGGAGAACTCCTCCTCAGACACGACATCAGCGTAATTTGGTGGTGCTGAAACACAAGAGATGCTACTGTCAAATTTCCAACTCCTCACTCCCAGCGAGACAACCAGTGCATCACAGTATCCGAGGCCGTGAAGCCTGTTTATTAAGCACTGTACTGCTGTCAGACTGTACGGAGCGCACTACGTCTGGAACTACTGCAACTAGATGACTCCTCCTCAGACACGACATCAGCGTAATTTGGTGGTGCTGAAACACAAGAGATGCTACTGTCAAATTTCCAACTCCTCACTCCCAGCGAGACAACCAGTGCATCACAGTATCCGAGGCCGTGAAGCCTGTTTATTAAGCACTGTACTGCTGTCAGACTGTACGGAGCGCACTACGTCTGGAACTACTGCAACTAGATGATGCTTTTGCAGGAACACTGCGGATGCTTTTAGGGCTACTCCAGCAACAAACCCGTGTTGTACCAAGGTAAACCCAGTAACAATTAACTCCAAGGTGTCTACCTCCCAAGTGGAATTCCCTCTATCAAAAGGCAGTTCAAGGTTCAGCTGAAAGTAGTCAGACAGGGGTAGTGGGACTAAAGGCTGGAGTTAAGGTATCCTCACCAGTCCTGCCGGACCTTGATTTCGATCCACGCGCCTCCCTCTCACAAGTCACGCTCTTAACGGCCTCCATCCCTAGCAGTGCCCTTAAACTGGCCCTTCCACCCTTCTGCTGCAGACAGCGCCATGCGGTAGCATAAAGAGTTCAATGTGTATTACCTTCAGGGTGTTCTGGCATGGTCAGCGCCAGCCAGCTCATATCCATACTAAACTGGCTGGTAATGCTGGAGTTTCTGCTTGAAAATCCAATACATGGAATAGTGCCAATCACCAGAGGCATTTCAATCATCAATTTCTTAGCACCAGGAATATGGATATACACCTATGTAACAGCCCCAAATAAAAGAAAAACAAAACCATCGTGAGACCCCATGGAATTGCTGGTCCTAGAAGCCACCTACTGCCCATCCTGCAGATGGATTAAAAATCAGGACTATTCTCATCCCAGATGTGTTTAGCCAATACTCTGGCAGCTTGCCTTATTTTCCAGCAACTTCCTTCTTTCTGTGCCTTGTCTCTAGATGACATTAAAACAATACAAAGCACGCTGACAAAAGTCATTACGCACTTGACTTTCAGTCCTACCTTCCTATTTCTGTAAAGGACTAGAAGAACCCATCCAGCTTGAACTACTTTCCCCTGAAAACCTCTGCAGGGCTAAAACTAATCTGCTGCTTCTTCAAAACATTCTTCCATTTATCCCATTATTCCTATCTTTCCATTTCAGAATCGCCTCATCATGTTCAGTCTCTTACCCACATGGTATATGACATTTATTTACATCTATTGTTGTTCCCAAATTCAACGCCTAACAGCTGCTCAGTAGAGAAAATTCCGTTCCCAACTCAACGCAGTATTCAAGAGTATGTACATTCGTAGTAAAAATCCACACTTACAGCTAATGAATACTCTACTCTAATAATACAGCAGTCAAGTATAGAGGGGGATACAGGTGGGATTTTCAGAGTTTTCCCATTCCAGGTATCTGTACTCCCAGAGGCAATATGGTTTCCTCGGACATTGGCAACCATCTGACGGAAAGTTTTTGTCTTCCCACTGGCCAGGTAAGTTTGTGTTTGGAAAATGGCAGCTTTTGGAACAATCAAACGAGAAGAGCAGTTCTCAATTTCTGCATAGATTGGTATGGCTTCCCCTTAAAGACAGAAAAAGTTCAATGAGTAATTTGTATTTACCAACTTTCCTCTGGGAGTATCAAAGCATGTTATGCCGCACGTACATCATCTGCAATGTTAGGAGAATGATACTCTTAGTTTCCTCAAGCTACGGCTTTCTTGCAGTGGTATCCAGGCAGAATTATAGCCACCTCCTCCACTTTATGTATAAGCAATCATTCATTTTGAAACATTAAACATACCATGAACAAGCCGTAAAAGCTTTATCTGCCAATTACGTGCCCATCTTCCTTTTATATAGTACTGACTGAATTCCAGAATGTTGTATTTTATTTCCTCAGTGTATCGAACATTACACCAAGATGACAAAGAAGCTGCTAAAGCTCATTCCCACACAAGTGTAAACCTACACAAACAGGACATAAAAACCTGATTACATCCCCAGTTAAGAATTTTATCCCAAATAAAAGCATATTGTTGTTCTTTACACTCAAATGTGAGTGGCTTTTCTGTGAGATTACTAACAGGACTTCCTTTCAATTTATATTCCCAAGGGGGGAGTGAGGGGCAAGGCAAGAGTACTTTTCTTCAAGCAAGTCCATCTAGACCTCAGTTTCCTGCCTAAACGAACTCTTCTTCGAGCTATAAAGTGTTGGCTTCACAGAGATGAAGAAAGCCCTGTCAGATGTTGAACAGTCACGCTGTGAAGATAGCTACTCTTACCATTACAGTATCCTTTCCTCTCAATTTTGGCACTGAGAGACACTGGCCCAGAGGTGAAAAACCAACAGCCAACCATCTTCTCCTGACTTCTTAGAACAGGTGTCTGTAAAATACAGAGCATTTTTCATTTTAGGGCAGAAAGCTCACAGTCACTTGCAGTTTAATGTTATGCATCAGTCATTGCAATCCCACCAGATCTGAATTCCTGCACCACTCAGTGCTCCTGGAGTTTTGCCACCATGTCAAATGGAACCTAAAATCCCAGTCTGCATTCAGAAGGTACCGCAGGGGTAACAGAGACCAATGTGCATTTGAAATGAATCTACCTTCAGAAAGATCGATTCAGCACCTGTTACAGGTGTGACTTCAGAGAGGCCTCATGGGGTACCGCGGGGTTTATACCCGTGTTCCTCAGGGCAGAAGAATGCAGAATTCATTTCGTTCAAGTGACTAACAGTTAAGCAGGTAAAGGGTTTTTACCTTTGTATCCTTCAGAACAGAGGACAAACGCTACACGCTGGGCTAAGGTGATGCACCTTCGTGACTTGTAAGCCACACAACCACCAAAAAATTTAGGCTCGTGACAAAAACCCTCTTAATTGTTCAATTGCCACATTAAATGACAGTCACACTGTATAATTTTCTTCAGAATAAACTTGCAACGTACAAGCACACACGTCAGTGGTCCAAACCAGGATTCACGCTACTTAAAATGATCTGCTGGGCACTAGTGCCCGTTGAGTATAGTGATGAGGTCTTAAACATTGTGTTGTTTTGCACTGATTCGGTCATGGCCTAGGAATTATGAAGACGGGCACCGCCTACTTCACATGCCCCCAGCCCTCCCCTGTGCAGTAACTTACAGCCTGCTCTGTTGCTGCAGCACCTGGATACGCTGTCTTCATGCTCCTAACGTACCGTGTTGAGTACAAGGACTACATTCTGTTTACAGATTTCACTGCCAAAATACTGCTCCAAGTTATCTTTCTCTCTAAAGATTGAAACCTAAGACTATAAAGAGGAAAAAATGCTGCTCAAAACCTCTCTTAGCTACGCTCACATCATGATGAAATGTTAAAATTATCCTAGCATTTTAAATAAAATAGAAATTACTCATTCATATTTAAATGAATAACCATTTAGATCCAGTTGCTATCATGAAAGTACAAGGTATAATTTTATATTATTTTCATAATATGGGCTCAGATAAAAGAATCCAGCTCATTAGCTTCCATCTTGCCTATTTTCTCATTACTTAATGCCTGATCTTTCTTATTACTCTACAGTATTTCCAGCGATTATTAGAAACTCAATGCTTTAATGTGGCCAAATCTGTCATAAGGAAATAACTGAAAAGATCTCTGAAGCAGCTGCACGCACGCACTTCATGCTGGAAAACGACACGCAGAATGGAAGGATACGTAACATAATGGCCAGAGTATAAATGACAGGCTAGGCATGATTAATACTCTTCTCTAATTACTGTTCCTCAACCTACTATTATTGTAGAGTTTAGGACACTGCAGCCCTGTGAATGTAGTTGCTCTTACCAGAGCAACTACTTTACACTCATGCATTATTATTATTAAGCCTTATTTATGCACCCGAAGCCAGCATAACTTTTTGGCAAGAGCATCTCTGCCAGCAGGGATGTAATCAATGGTATTAAAAAAAAGCCACTCTGTTTGCTATTCACACAACCTAAGATCATCTATTTATAGAGAAAAGCTTAGGGGGCTTATATGCTTTCAGAAGTCAGAAAATGACACTCCAGAATAACATGGAAACAGTTATGGCTGGATGTGAATGCTTCTTGGAAATGAGTCTTTCTGCAGCTGGCTGCTGAGGAGGGAGGAGGAGTGGAGGACCCTCTTACCAATAACGCTGGCGAGCTGATGTCGATGTGGCTGATGACCTGAAGCTCTGTCTGTACGCTCTGCTCGGGGGCTGCAGGCCTCTCCAGAACTGCTTTCACGTAGTACTGAATACTGCCGTACTTCCCGGTGAAGGAGGTCACCAGGGGTCTGAAACAAGCAGTCACAGGAGCATCGCCATCAGTTTTAACTCCGTTCCAAACACCAACGCGTCCCGTACGTAAGCGTTTCCCACGTTACAGCCTGTACCGTTAGGGCCTTAGGGGAGCCGACGCGAACAAGGCATGTCTGGGGGGTGGTGGACTAAGGCAAACTTACAAAGCTGACCTCTCCGTTCCATATAAATAAATCACAAGCCAAGTTACATGAAGTAAATGTTCCATAACAGAGCCTGCCCGGCACAACCCCTTCAGGCTGCAGTATTTTAACTTACTCTTGAGGGAGTTGAAAGCTGAACGGAAATTCATGTCTTCCATCTAGAAGAATTAAGCTTTCCTCACCTGTAGGATAAAAATGAAAAGTATGTTTTAGTTATTCCATAAATAGAGGAACAAAGCAGATGCTTTTATATGTTATTTATGTATAAAAACACCCAGATGCAAGGGACTGGGACAACTTCTTACTGATCCCAGTGGGTCCTGGATTGGAGCCCATGCTTTATTTATGCTGTGATGAGATTTCAATGAAAAAAAATAAAAAATCAAGGAAACGTGGAGACCGTGAGTTTCAGTTCAGGACTCCAGCCAATTTCTAATCCAAAATGGCTTCTGGAAAGCATAAAGCAAGTTTCTTTTCCTTGCCAGCAGGACAGCAGTTCATCTAGTTTTCCAATTAACTGCAGCAACTTTTGTGCTAAAAAGCTGCAATTTAAAGTCTTATGAAATACTGTTAACATACGTAATCTTCATACATTTACAGACAGAAGGCCTACTGTTATATGGGTTTTAAAGGCCCAAACTTCCTTTTCCTACAGATAACCTGAGCTGCCTCTCATCCCTACAGAGCGAACTGCCGTTTCCCTGGGATTTTTCCGCACTGTCACAGGGCTGCAGTGTCCCAGCGGGAGACCTGGTGCAGCCGCTGCACAGGGAGCCCGACCGCTTCCAGCGTCTTCCAGGGGCACCTTCCGACGCGGCTGGCAGGGCCCGGCGGGCAGGCAGCTGCCCCAGGGAACTCGGAAGGGACCCAGAGCTGGCGCCTTCTTCCAGCCCGGCTGCGCGTTTCGCAGCCGTGTCACAGCAGCAGCCGAG